GTCGAACTCTCCCTGAAAAACCCCTTCTCTCACTCTATAAGCCCTAATTTTTTAAGTTAGGAAGTAAAACGCACAGCTGCGAGGGGCCAGGCGCCGCGGCGATTGCTTCAGGCGCCGCGGCGCCTATTACAGAATGGATTTTCACTCAGGCACCGCGGCGCACGTGATATTAGGCCGCGGCGGATTTCACCGAATGGATTGCTTCCTAATGTAGCTCGGGCGCCGCGGCGGATGCAGCAGGGCGCTGCAGCGGATTTCACAGAGGCTCAGTCTTCCCTCTCTGTGTTATCCGCCGCGGCGGATTCTTCCAAAGGCCGCGGCGGATACTTCTTTTCAGCTCCTTCTCCATTCTTTACTTTCCTCAGGCTTTGTTTCCTGCAAAATTGACTTATAAACCCAATAAAAGAATGTTAAATCAGCTTAATTCAGTAGGAATTTTGAGAGGTTATCACACCCCCAAACTTACACTTTTGCTCGTCCTCGAGTAAAACAACAAACCAGCAACTAAGTGACAAAATTGCACATTAAAGATTGTAGGAACAGTTGTATCCTCATTAAATGCTCAAGATACTATACAGGATAGGAAATTATTGAATCACCCAAAGAAACAAGTTTCATGAACTTAAAACAAACTTTCAATGATTTTGGAGTGTGAGTGTGTGTATAGAGTCAATGAGCATCTCTTAAGATACTGTTTCAGTGGAATGAGAGACTTTAGTCAACATACTAACCTTCAACCGTATCCTTTCATAATCCTAACTTCTTCTCTCTCTCTGTTTACAGCTCACCCCATATACATTTGAAATCAGAGGGACTTTTCGGCTTATAACGTGGCCAAGAGGTAATGGTTTAAGAAAGAAAGGGGAAAGTAGATCATACAAATACTTTGAGATAAATAGATATCCAACAATCAGAACTTACTTCAACCACTTTCATTCTCCCAAACTTGTACCACAATTATTTGTATATAGATAAGTATACAATTTTTTTTTGTTTTTGTTTTTCTTTTTTTTTTTTTGTTTGTTTTTGTTTGTTTTTTTTTTTTTCAAAGTAAAAACAACTTAGCACCTAACACTTTAACTTGTCAGAATACTAGACTACCCTTTTCAACCTTTCAAAATCTCCACATTTCATCAAACCCCTTATCCTTTCAACTTCCATTTATCTCAAAGCTAGGGATTTCCTGGTTTTTCTTAATTGGTTTTGGGTTAGGAAGAGGTTAGGGTTTGAAACAAAACTGATACATACATATATATATATATATTTTTTTTAAGGCTCAAAGCATGGGTTCAAAGGATAAAACCTATAAGGTCAGCTTGAAAGGCTCAAACGCATTTAAGAACTGCCCTAATCCTTTTTCAAATTCATATAAAACAAACTATAAACTTTGAGAAATCATAAGAAGGTTATGAAACAATTTAGTTGAAACAAGAGTATATAGGCTAACTTATCCACTCAACCTCAACATAACCCCTTGAAATGTCTTGACCCTTTTAGTGCATTAGCTTCTCCAAAATTAAAGAAACATAGGTTTCAACCTCATAAATCAAGTCTCGAAAAGCAGTTCAAAACTTCTTATCAAGCATAGTAACCAAGCATTTTGTTCAATCATTGGACCATTCATACATCCTCAACTACCACTTGCCACTTCAGCTTATATTTCATAAAATCAACCGAGCAAAAATTTAAGCTGACAAAATTTCTACTGTTTCAGCTGTTTCAAAATTTTCTCAACAAAATGACCTTTCAAAAATTTTCAAATATAACCCTGTTATCCACAAAATTTTCAAATTTAATTCTGTTATCCACAAAACTTTTGTCCTATTATCCAAAAATTTCAATCCTCACCCCCAAACTTAAAATTGACTGTGTCCTCACTGTCAACAATGGGAAGTAAGGATCAAGGCATGCAGGCAGAATTGAAAAAAAACAATAAATTCGCTGCATGAAAGGTCAAAATTTCGCTTTGCTTCCTGTACAAGTATATCAGTATGCACAACTATCAATAGTATCATCATCAGATAATGTTGGCAAAAAAAAAATCATCATCAGATAAGCATTATGAAATCATTAATTACTAAAGACATCCACAAATTAATCAATCAAAAGATCTGTTAACCATTCACATGTTCAATCATTTCGCAATAGTTAATGCTGTGAAAATCAGCAATGATAGATATTGGTCAACAGTCAGAATCAATTCAATAGGCCATCAGTAGCCTTGCCAGAATCATAGAAGCAAATAACACACAAAAAAGACCAAAATGCAAGAAAATTCAGAAACACACAAAAATAAATAAAAAACAGCAAAGCAAGCAACAACAGCAGCAGAAATGGCCCCAGCTAGTCCTCCTCCTCTTCAGAATGCTCATCCCCCTGATCCTCAGCACCCTCTTCATATGGATTGACAGCCATATCATCGCCCGAGCCAATACCAGCACCAGAAGTTCCAGCTTCCTGCTCCTCTTCCGGTGACTCTGCCTCAGTGCTTGAATCCTCCACATCCGGCACATCAATGGCCAAGTTCCTTGCAATCTAGACTAATAACTCCTCCATGCGCCTTTGTCTACGTCTCCTGTGACGTATCTCTCTGTCCAACTTCTCATGAAGGAGATCCAAGCTTCTAGTGGTAGGGTCAACACTGGCACTGGCTTGAGCTTCCTGTTGCCTCCTATACTCGTCAGGGAATTGTTCAGCAAACAGGGCTTCAGTGATCCGTTGTTGTTCTCGTTCAGGCACCAGGTTAGAGTAGTTGAATGGTGACACAGGTTTGAACTTGCGGTCTTTGTCTTTCCACTCTACCCCTGCTTTCGATAGCAAATCTGAGATGAGGTGAGGCATGACGAGGTTTGTATTGTGGGCTCTGCAGGCATCCCAGATAGCATCAAAGATCAATTTTGGTATATCTACTGTTGCCTTGATCATAAGTAGATAAATCAGGAGTGCCAGATTCCTTGGGGCTTCACTGAGATGTGTGGTTGGCATAATGTTTCTTGTAACAATATGCAACCAAATCCTGGCCTCCGGTATCATGTCTTTTCTCAGGATATATGCTTGGCCTCTCTTAGGCCGCACCCACATCTCCTTAGAATCGGTGAGTGTTGCTGAGATGGCATCGAGGGGAATCTCCTTCTGATGGTTGAGATAATACTGATATTGGCACTTGTCCACCTCGGGAAGCTTATAGTGATTCCTAATGCTCACTGGAGTAATGAGGAAACGCTTGCACCTTATAAACAGCTCATTACTCAAGTTTGTAGCCACCCTCACATAGAATTTTCTGACCAACTTCTCATTCCCCTCACCTTTGGGACCAATCAAATTGAGGAGACGAAGCTTCCTTGCTTTTTTATAGAACCCGAATTTATTTTTGCACGGGAATTCTCTTTCGAAATGCAACCCTCTTTTCTCAATGAGCTCTTTAATTGGAGGATCAGGGGAGGTGGCACGGGCTTTCTTCCTGGGGGCCATTGGATTGTTACCTGCTAAGAGGACACAAACAAAGCACACCACACACAAACTAAGCACAAAAACAAAGAAAAAGAAGAAAACTAACCTAAAAATAAAGAAAAACTATCCCCCAAACTTAAATCAAGGAGCTAGACCACAATCTCACCATTAATCCCTTTCTCAACCTGAATTATAAACTACCTCCAATTCAAAACAAGTTTACAAAGATTCTTCTATATCTAGTGATTTCAAAATCAGATAACCATCAGTAGCTACCAATTGAAACTAATTTCACTAGATCAGAATAACATTTCCAAATCAGCTACAAGTGAAATAGAACAACATAACTTGGGTAATGAACCGGTGTTATTGAAAATTTAGACAAGCATATCCTTTTCTCAAATCAGGTCCAAGTTATGATCACTCAATTTCACATGTATCACATTTTCATCAAAATGTTTACAGATAGTTGGGCAATAAGCAATTATCACCTAACCACAATGTAACTTCAGATAATCAAAATGCTACCATCTAGAGTTCAAAAATTCATCTAACCACAAAGCTCAACCCTAACACTACCCATCTCCATCTAAACTAGACTAGAAGAAATTAAAATAAACAAAAGAGTAAGAAAGAGTACCTATTCGGTCGACTAAAGGAGAGGAAAGAGGAAGGCCGACGGTGAGGGGAGAAATGAGGGCGGCAGCGGTAGAGACACTGACTGGCGGTGGAAGACGGAGAAGCTCGGCAACCGGCGACCGGCGACGCGAGCCTGATGGGCGACGGAAGACGGCGAGGCGACGGGAGAGGGAGAGAAAATTCTGAGCTGGAAGGAAAGAGTATTTCGAATATGATAGGGAGAGGAGGAACCGACGGGGGTATCTAATATGAAAAGGGGTGGTGCTTGAAATTGGGCTTGGGAGTGAAAAGACCAAAGGGTTAGGTTTTTTAAAATTAAATCAATGAACTTACCTTCAAAACCGGTCAGATACATCTGGGTAAAGTGGGTATTGAGACAAATGAACAAGGCTAAAACGGGGAACACAAATCTGGAAGTGCGAGAAGGCGCCGCGGCGGATTATGAAAAGAGCCGCGACGCCTTTCACAGAATTGCTGCAGCTGGGCAAAGCAGGGCGCCGCGGCGGATTAATCAGGGAGCCGCGGCGGTTTTTACCGAGACAGACATTCAACTTAGGACTAAGGCGCCGCGGCGGATTAACTCAGGGGCCGCGGCGCCTAATACAGAACAGGCACTCAGAAGAAGACTAGGCGCCGCGGCGTCTCATCAAACACGCCGCGGCGCCTCACACAGAGAAAGCATACAAAGAAAAATTAACAAACACAAACCGGACCTACCACAATCAAGAACCCTACACATAATAAAACAAGACTAAGCACAAGCATAAGCATAAAAACAAACACAAGACAAATAACCACATAAAAGCAAAACCCACAAGTCTCAATTTATCATAAGTTCAAACCAAACAAGGTCAATGTCCACTGCTAGAGATTGAAGTTAGGTGCACTTCCCTGGTTGCGCTAATTAGAAATCAACCACTCCTGCCGAGCTCCAAAGTTTGAGGAATAAACCAAGAGGCCTACAAAAACAAAGATCAAACATAAATCTACTAAAACACAACTGAAATAAAAGAAACACATCAAAGGCAAGTTTAGAGCTTGGGTTGCCTCCCAAGTAGCGCTTGGTTTATAGTCTTCAGCCTGACTCTTCAGCTTTGTTATGATTGTTCAGCAAAGTAGATCGTGGAAACTTGACGATCCACCTTTCCACCCCAATAATGCTTCAAACGTTGGCCATTGGCATGAAATCTTTCACCTTTTTCATTTTCCAGCTCCACTGCACCATGGTTGGCAGCTTGTACCACAGTAAATGGCCCTGACCAACGTGATTTGAGTTTGCCCGGAAATAGTCTCAATTTGGAATTATGAAGTAACACCTTTTGCCCTGCTTCAAAGATCTTGGGAATAATTTTCTGATCATGATACTTCTTGGTCCGTTCTTTATAGAGCCTTGCACTTTCATAGGCATTAAGGCGAAATTCCTCTAACTCATTCAGTTGTAGGAGCCTTTTTGCACCAACAGCTTGAAAGTCAAAGTTGAGCTTTTTTATGGCCCAATAAGCTCCATGTTCCAATTCTACAGGCAAATGACATGCTTTTCCAAACACCAACCGATAGGGAGACATCCCAATCGGAGTTTTATATGCTGTCCTGTAGGCCCAAAGAGCATCATCCAGTTTTAATGACCAATCTTTTCTTGTTGCACCTACTACCTTCTCAAGAATGCTTTTGATCTCTCGGTTGGATATTTCTGCTTGGCCATTTGATTGAGGATGATAAGCCAAAGTTACCCTGTGCTTTACACCATATTTCTTCATCAGAGCTTGAAATTGATGATTGCAAAAGTGAGAGCCACCATCACTAATAATAGCCCGAGGTGCTCCAAATCTCGTGAAGATGTTTTTCTTTAAGAATTTGATCACCGTTTTAGCATCACTGGATACACATGCAGTAGCTTCAACCCATTTCAAGACATAATCCACAGCAACCAGAATGTACTCTTGATTTAGAGACTTTGGAAACGGGCCCATGAAGTCAATTCCCCAAACATCAAAGAGTTCAACTTCCAGAATATTATTCAGAGGCATTTCATTCCTTCTTGATATGTTTCCCACTCGTTGACATTGATCACATCAAATCACAAAGGCATATGCATCTTTGAATAGTGAAGGCCAATAAAAACCACTTTGAAGGACTTTGGCAGCCGTTTTCTCTCCTCTAAAATGTCCACCATAAGCTGAAGAGTGGCAACACTCTAGAATATCTTGCTGCTCAACCTCCGGAACACATCTTCTTATCATCTGATCGGCACATCTCTTGAACAAATAAGGTTCTTCCCAGAAGTACAACTTTGCATCGTGAAGAAATTTCCTCTTTTGATGAGAGTTAAGGTCTAGTGGCAGAGTTCCACAAACCAGATAATTAACCAGATCTGCATACCATGGAGTAGTTGAGTTATCCACAAAGAACAAGCATTCATCAGGAAAAGCTGCATTGATCTCTTGACAATGATCATGTTGAGCTTCATTACTTAATCGAGATAGATGATCGGCCACTTGGTTCTCAGTGCCTTTCCTATCAACAATTTCCAAATCAAATTCTTGAAGCAAAAGGACCCATCGAATTAGGCGTGCCTTGGAATCTTTCTTCGTAAACAGATACTTTAGGGCCGAGTGGTCCGTATAGATAGTCACTTTGGTGCCCACAATATAAGACCGGAATTTCTCACAAGCAAACACCACTGCAAGCAATTCTTTCTCAGTAGTAGTGTAGTTAAGTTGGGCATCATCCAACGTTTTACTAGCATAGTAGATGGGATGGAAGACCTTATCTACTTTTTGTCCTAGAACTACTCCAACGGCAAAATCACTAGCATCTGCCATAATAATGAAGGGTAGCTCCCAATTAGGTGCCACTAAAATGGGTGCTGAGGTGAGCTTCTTCTTTAATTCCTCAAAAGAGTTCATACAAGTGTCATCAAACTTGAACTCCCTATCTTTCTCCAACAAATTGCACAAAGGCTTAGTGATCTTAGAGAAATCTTTAATGAACCGACGGTAGAATCCCGCATGACCCAAGAAACTTCTAATACCCTTAACACTTGTTGGTGGAGGCAATTGCTCAATAACAGATATCTTTGCCTTGTCAACTTCTAGGCCTTGTTTGGATACTCGATGACCAAGGACAATGCCCTCTTGCACCATGAAGTGACATTTTTCCCAATTCAGAACCAAATTAGTTTCTTCACATCTTTGCAAAACAGCCGCCAAATTATCTAAACAACAATCAAAAGAATCTCCAAAAACAGAGAAGTCATCCATGAACACTTCAATTGTTTTCTCAATCATGTCAGCAAAGATGGCCATCATGCATCTTTGAAATGTTGCTGGAGCATTGCAAAGACCAAATGGCATTCTTTTGAAAGCAAATGTGCCATATGGACAAGTAAAGGTTGTTTTCTCTTGATCTTCTGGGGCTATTACAATTTGGTTGTATCCTGAATACCCATCCAAGAAACAAAAGAATTCTTGCCCAGCAAGTTTATCCAACATCTGATCAATAAATGGCAGCGGGAAATGGTCTTTTCTGGTTGCTGTATTTAACTTTCGATAATCCATGCAAATTCTCCACCCTGTCACAGTACGAGTTGGAACTAGCTCATTTTGGGTGTTAGCCACTACAGTTATACCGCCTTTTTTAGGGACGCATTGAACTGGGCTCACCCATGAACTATCAGAAATAGGGTAGACTATTCCAGCAGAAAGCCATTTAAGGATCTCTTTCTTGACTACCTCTTTCATAACTGGGTTTAATCTCCTTTGATGCTCAATAGAAGGTATGTGACTATCCTCTAATAAAATCTTGTGCATACAAATAGAAGGGCTGATCCCTTTGATGTCAGCTATGGACCACCCAATAGCTTTCTTGTGGTGTCTCAAGACCCTTAACAGTTTCTCTTCTTGCAACGTGGACAACTTAGAAGAAACAATCACAGGTAAAGTGGTAGAATTACCCAAGTAGGCATACTTGAGATGTGATGGTAAAGTCTTCAACTCCAATACCGGCGGTTCATCCACAGAAGGCTTTAGAGGAGAGCTCAAAGCACTAGTCACATCTAGAGGCTCAAAAGTCTTAGCTTTTCGATACGGAAACGCTTCAATACTCATCATTTCTGCATAAGCTTCAACCTTGCCATCAATACTACTTGTTTCTCCAATCAACACTGCTTCTAATGGGTCTTTGGTCAAAGAGTTAATCAGCTCCTCTTGCACCGTGGAATCAATCACATCAATACAATTACAGTGAGCAGAATCATCTGGAAACTTCAAGGCTTGATTCATGTTGAATATCACCTTCTCATCATTTACTCGCATGGTGATCTCACCCTTTTCTACGTCAATGAGGGTTCTTGCAGTGGCTAAAAATGGCCATCCCAAAATAATGGGGATATTCCAATCTACCTCACAGTCTAACACAATGAAATCAGCTGGGAATATGAATTTGTCTACCTTCACCAAGACATCTTCTACAATCCCTTTTGGATATGAGATACTTCTGTCGGCAAAGAGCAATGTAACTGTTGTTGGCCTTGCATCACCCAAGTTTAATCGATTGAATACAGCTAGAGGCATCAAGTTAACACTTGCTCCCAAATCACATAGGGCTTTTCCATTGAAGTGTTTGCCTATGTTACAAGGAATATAAAAGCTGCCTGGATCTCTCAGTTTGGGTGGGAGTTTTCGCTGCAAGATAGCACTACAATCTTCAGTCAAAGCCACCGTTTCAAATTCACCAAATCTCTTCTTTTTGGAGAGAACATCCTTAAGAAACTTAGCATACTTAGGCATCTGCTCTAATGCTTCAGCAAACGGGATGTTGATGTGTAATTGCTTAAACATGTCCACAAATTTCTTGAACTGGACATCTTCATCTTTCTTCTTGAACCTTTGAGGAAATGGAAGCGGCGGCATCTGTGTAGCAAGAGGAGGAGTTGTCTTCCTCTTTTTATCATCAACCGTTTCACCCTCTACTTTCTTTCCTCGAACCACATCAGTGAGATTTTCTTCTGTTTGTTTCCTTTTCTTGGTTTCTTCCTCTTCTACTATACCACCTTCTTCTGCAAGCTCATTTGTATCAAGATCAGTCGCCTTACTGTTAATGGTGTCCTTGCCGGTCTGACTAGGTCTCTGAATGTCAGGTAGCTGCTTTCCACTTCTCAAATTGATCGCTTTGCACTCTTCATTACCATCCCTTTTTGGATTGGGAATGGTATCACTTGGTAAGCTGCTTCTTGTGAGTACATTCATTTGTGAAGCCAGTTGACCCATTTGCACCTCAAGATTCTTGATGGCAGTTTCATGGAGAGAAAATGTTGCCTTGTTCTTAGCCCTTGCAGATTCTTGATTGGCCAATAATTGAGCAAACATCTTCTCAATTTTGGAATCTTCCTTTTGAGGATGCTGCTGTTGCAATTGATTTTGCTGTGGTTGACCATGAAAACTAGGAGGCCCCATTTGTTTAGCACCGGATGGTAATATTTGTGGGGGATTCAGACTTGGCCCATTTCGCCAAGAGAAATTTGGATGATTTCTCAAATTTGGGTTGTAAGTTTGAGAATAAGGGTTCCCTTGTGGTCTTCTTTGTGCATTATTCATATAATTGACTGTCTCCAAGGTGTATGGGCATTGATCAGAATGGTGTTCCTCATTACAATGGTCACAAGTGTATCCCGGAGCCTGAAGTGCATGAACTCCTGCAGTATTTCCTTTCTTAATCTGCAATTCCAGATTGTCAAATCTTTTAGATATTGCTTCAAGTTGCGATGCAATGTCCCTTGATGATGAAGAACTAGGCTCCTTATGTCTCCCAGAACTTTGCCTTCTTTTGTTATATTGTTGCATAGTGCTAGATGCCACCTCTTCATACAGTTCATATAGCTCATTTACCTTCATCTTTCCGATTCCTCCGTTTGAAGCGGTATTCAGCATTGTCACTGTCTGATCATTCAATCCATTCCAGAAAGCTTCCATTAGAACATATTTCTTCTGCTCATGATTTGGACAATTTCTCCACATATCCTTAAATCTTTCCCAAGCCTCATAAAATAGCTCATCCGGATGCTGCTCAAAAGAAAGCAACTCACCCCTTAATGTAGCACGTTTGCCCCTTGGAATAAATCTGGCCTTGAACTTAGATACAAGCTCATCCCAAGTCTTAATGGAGTGTTCAGGTAAAGAATTCAACCATGTTTTCGCCTTGTGAGATAATGACATGGGAAACAATCTCAATCTCAGTGCATCTTTAGTAACCCCAGTTTGTTTGAAGTTCTCACAAACCTCTATGAACTTGGTCAAATGCTCATTCGGATCATCCTTAAAATTTCCTTCAAAAGTGCCCATCATCCCCAGTAGTTGAATCATAACAGGCTTGATTTCAAAATTCCTGGCTTGAATGTCTGGTAACCGGATACTTGAGTGAAAAGTCTGCCCTTCTTTATCCAAATAGTCATCCAGGGTGTACACATCGTTCTCATCTTCCTCCGCCATATTTTCTTCTGATTCTGATTCTGAGGTTGTTGTTGAATCTCCGGTGTGTTTTCAGTTTCTCCCGACCTGGATACTTCTTCAGTAACTTCTTCCACAATAACTTCCAGTCTTCCTTGCATGCGTCAGGGGTTACCTGCACATTCAAATCAAAAACAAAAGTATCAAACTTATCAAGAGAAATGAACAAAATAAACTACTGCTACTACCTATAATTACTACAAATGCTAAATGGAACTTAAGCGTAACCAAGCACACAATAAGGACAATCAACCTCAAAAACTCTAGCCGTTAGTCCCCGGCAACGGCGCCAAAAACTTGTTCACCAAATAACTTGACCGCAAGTGGACGGGTCACAAGTAATATAAAAAGTATCGTTCCCTCAGAGACTAAGGCTAGATGAGTTGAAAAATCATAATTGTGTATTTGATTAGGTTAAGTGAAATAATTGTTGTAAAAGAGTTTGTGAAATGAAAGTTAAGAAAACAATGGTTTAAAGCAGTATAAAATCGAATCGACCTTGAAACAATTAATAGACTAGGGTTATTCTTCACTAAAGTACTTCATGAAACTGGATTAATTACCTCTCAAATAGTGTTTCACAATAAATTCAGTTAGCCTGGGTTTATAGAATTGATTAAGCTTTCTCAAGTCAAAACCAAATGTTGCAAACACCATTAAAACACAGCAATCTCTTGCTTTTGTTTGAAAAGGTTTCTCTTTAAAAACCAAAACCCATTTAGTCTATGCTAGGTCAACAAATACATCTCTGATCAATCGACAAACCATCTATTCACTCAAATAAATTTCTGGACTAGCATGTTTTTACCTAAGTTCACGAATTAGTCTAACTTTCTCAAGTTAAACTAATCAACCAATCAATCCAAATGATGGCCAGACAAAAGGAAGCATTAAGCTCAAAGTAAAAACAACTGAATATTATCATTAACACTAAAGAGATAGCAAAACCCAAATCTCAATCCATACAATAGATCAAAATAACCCTAGAAAAACGGATTTAGCTATACATGGCAAGTAAAGAACTACAACTATAGGAATATCTAGTAGTCATAGTAGAAACAAGAAGGGAAGAAGAAGGAAACCCAGAAAATTTAAGATATAAGCTTTGAATCTCTTCTAGCTTCAAGCCCAAAAGTTCCAAGCCTTCAAAACTCCAAACCCTAGCAGAGCCACCCTCCAAAATTGCTTCAAAAGTCGAACTCTCCCTGAAAAACCCCTTCTCTCACTCTATAAGCCCTAATTTTTTAAGTTAGGAAGTAAAACGCACAGCTGCGAGGGGCCAGGCGCCGCGGCGATTGCTTCAGGCGCCGCGGCGCCTATTACAGAATGGATTTTCACTCAGGCGCCGCGGCGCACGTGATACTAGGCCGCGGCGGATTTCACCGAATGGATTGCTTCCTAATGTAGCTCAGGCGCCGCGGCGGATGCAGCAGGGCGCTGCGGCGGATTTCACAGAGGCTCAGTCTTCCCTCTCTGTGTTATCCGCCGCGGCGGATTCTTCCAAAGGCCGCGGCGGATACTTCTTTTCAGCTCCTTCTCCATTCTTTACTTTCCTCAGGCTTTGTTTCCTGCAAAATTGACTTATAAACCCAATAAAAGAATGTTAAATCAGCTTAATTCAGTAGGAATTTTGACAGGTTATCAATAGGAAATAACAAGTTTATAATAGTAAATAACAAGTTATTAAGTAGTTGGGAATAACAAGATTGCTATGTGGAATTGACAAGTTGATAATAGGAAATAACAAGTTTATAATACGAAACAACAAGTTTGAATAACAAAGTTGAGCATAACAGTTTGAGAAGTTTATGATTTGAAATAACAAGTTCATAATTGTAAATAACAAGTCTATGATTAGAAATAACAATTATGATAAGTAGTTGGGAATAACAAGTTGGGTTTGAGGATTATACAACTTTTGTATAGAAAATAACAAGTTGACATTAGGAAATAAGAAGTTAGTGCTTATTAAGTAAGAAGGCTTTTGATTGGAAAAAACTAGTATTGATGGAGTTGTTGTTAGTTAATAAGTTGTCATTGTGAAAAAGAGATGGCACCTGAGGGAGCATCTGGAATGAAACTGGCACACAATGGGTGGTTGCTATTCAAGAGGGAGTTTCTAGCAATATTAGGTGACAATGATATCAAAGGCTAACAAAAAAGAGAAGATGTATCAAATGCTCGAAGAGCTTTGCCTGATGAATAGAGGAAGAGGTATATGGAGAAGGTGAAGAAAACAAGGCCAAAAAAGGTAGAAGATGAGAAGAAAAAGGAATATGTACCGTCGTTTTTAACTTGAGTGCCCATGAAGGGTTTTAAAAAATTACTACACTTTGTGAATAATAATGATGACTTAAGGGACAGGGTAGAGAGGATAGGTTTTGAAAGCTCATTAAAGGTTAGACTGAATAGACTTCTCGTGATCTCATTGTGACTATGTTCAGATCATATAACCCACCAACTCATTAATAAAACTAAGGAAATAGGAGCATAAGGAATACGCCATGATGGGGAAAAGGTCACAGATAAGGTTTTAAAGGATGATACAATGTATAAGAATTTAAGAATGATTATCGAGTGTCATTTAGTAATTAATATTGAAAGACATTATTTTTGAGGAAGAGGATCACATATTTGAGTTCTTGTTTGTCTTATACATGCTAGGCACTTTTCTATGTCCCTTGTTAGGCTCATAAGTAAGTAACAAGCTGATAAGAGTCAAGCATTGCACAATGGATGACTTTAGAAAGTATGATTAGGCCACATATATTATAGAGGACCTGTGGAAACAGAGAGCTGACTATCTGAAATTGTATGGGCAAGCTAATGATGGGCAAGGGAGCAGCACTGTGGTGGCTGCATATATTTGCTTTTGGATAATGTTAATGTTGATGATATGTGGTATTACAACTTTTTCGTGTGAGCATTTTAACCTCAACAAATCTATAGACTGAGACTCCACTAGTGCGATCCAATACTTGACATATGAGAAGATAAAAGAAATGGTGAGTAAGGAGAGGAAGAATGTTAAAGGAATTTTGCATATAAAAAAAGGGAATAAAGTTGTGTCTGGCAAAGAGGAGAGGATATGTGTTGACTCTTTGGATCTGGTATGTGGTATCTTTAGTAAAGTGATATTCTTATTTACTAAACTAAACTTGTTATTTGCAATAGTTAAACTGTTGTTTGATAAATTTAACTTATTAGATATGATACTTAAGTTGTGATTAAGTAAAGTGAACTTGTCATTTGCTATAGTTTAAGTTGCTATTTGATAAACTTGTTATATATGATACTTAAGTTGTGATTGGGTAAAGTAAACTTGTCATTTGCTATAGTTTAAGCTGTTATTTGATAACACTTGTTATATATGATACTTAAGTCGTGATTGGGTAAAGTAAACTTGTCATTTTCTATAGTTTAAGCTGTTATTTGATAACACTTGTTATATATGATACTTAAGTCGTGATTGGGTAAAGTAAACTTGTCATTTTCTATAGTTTAAGCTGTTATTTGATAACACTTGTTATATATGATACTTAAGTCGTGATTGGGTAAAGTAAACTTGTCATTTGCTATAGTTTAGGTTGTTATTTGATAAACTTAACTTATCATATATGATACTTAAGTTGTGATAAGGTAAAGTCAACTTGTCATTTGCAATTGTTAGGTCATTATGTCATATAGTTATCTTGTTATTTATTTGATAAATGTCATTTTCATGCAAGAACTAAAGCAGTTGCGTGCACAAATAATAAAGAGGATAGATGAAAGCTAAAAGAAGTTGATGGATATGATAGATGAGGAGCTATTGAAGGGGCACGTTTCAAGAGAGGAAAATGGTAAGTCAAAAGGAAAGGCTCTTGTTAAGACAGTCGCATCAACTGTCAACAACTCTAAAGATAATGATAAAGAGAGGTAGAATGCTAGTGAGACTAGCGAGGAGAAGAATAAGAATGATGAAGAGAGTGATGATGACACTAGTGAGGAGAAGGAGAAGGAGAAGGATGATAGAGGGAGTGATGATGAAGATAGTGAAGAAGGAGATAATAATAACAAGGATGAAGAGGACAATAGAGATAAGAGTGGTGACATGAGTAAAACGAAGGATGATCGACAGAGTGAAGAGAAGGATAACAGGGACAATATAGGCAGTGGTAATGGGGATATTGATCAAATGGATGAAGGGAAGAGTAAAAATAAGGACAATGATGAAATGAAGAATGACATACCCACGCCTAATTCTACCATAAATGTGTCATCTAATGTTGAAGGTGATAATGTGAAGGGTGACATACCGTGGCAGTATTCCCATTGGTAATTGTTGAATATATTGACCCTCTTGAGAATCAAACCCCCATAACAGTGCAATCTACGACAGTAGCTGAAGCTGTGCAGCAACAACAAGTAAGGAGATCTACGAGGATTTGGTTCAACAAAATTAAGTCTCCTTGGTTAGAGTTGATGGCATAAATGAGGTTGAAGAGGCCTATGGAGGACAAGGATATTTTTTTCACCATTGTCAGCCGAAGTAGTAATAAGGGTAACTAGTATGTATTATCATTCTCAGCTTTTGTGATGTTGTTATGTTAGCAAATATTAACATAACCTATATGTTAACTCACTTGAATGATTGTCAGTCCTTTGATTCAAATGTTTGATGAAAACATTACCTGACGGTCATTGGGAGGAAATAACAGAGTAAATAATAGGGTCATGTCATTGGTTTGTAAGGATGTGGTGGGTGAGCAACTGGTAGTAAAAGGACAAGTTAGGAGGTGTATATTTGATTCGAACTTCATGGTGAGGTTTTTTCTTAGGCAATTTATGACAAGCATGGATAGGAAAATGACAAGTGTAGAATATAAAATAATAAGTATGTATAGGCAATTTACTATTTTAAAAAACTAATTACGACATGACAATTTCAATTTGTGCTTTTACCAAGAGTTAATGATTTGTGATACAGCTCGTTGGGATCCTAACTATCATGCATAACAAATAATTTCACAATATGTTAGGTATAACATAAGTGAGTGTGACTTGATAATGGGTCCTACACTTGTTGGTGAACACTGGTTCTGCTTTATCTTGAGCCAAAGACCATAAAATTCAATATCCTCAATTCCATACGAACAACTGTTCAGCCTAAGAAGACCACAACTAAGAAGAAGAAGACTGTCACGTATGACCCTCAAGAAATGGTCATCATAGGATGTGTAAGAATGACCTTGATATATTAAATTGCATTATTATTATTTAAAATTATAGTCATGTAGATAAATATATGATACATGTGTGGAGAGATAGATTCTATGATATTATTTGCATGATGAGTTTTTTACTTAAGCAATTTATGACACGTGTAGTATATATAATAATGAGTCTATATAGGCATTTACTGTTTTAAAAAATTAATTACAAAATGACAATTTTAATTTGTGCTTATATGATTTGCTCAAAAAAAATTTGTGCTTTTATCAGGAGTTAATGATTTGTGACCTAACTCGTTGGGACCCTAACTATCGTGCATGACAAATAATTCCACAATATGTCAGGTACAACATAGGTGAATGTGACTTGATAATAGGTCCTGTACTTGTTGGTTAACATTGGTTCTGCTTTGCCCTTGACCTAAAGACCATGAAGTTCAATGTCTTTGATTCTATGCAAGCAATTATTTAGCCTAAGAAGACCACAACTAAGAAGAAGAAGGCTACCATGTATGACCCTCAAGAAATGGTCATCATAGGATGTGTAAGAATGATCTCAATATATTAAATTGCATTCTTACTTTTTAAAAATTATAGTCATATTGATGAATATATGATATATATGTGTGTGTGTGTGAAGAGATAGGTTTTGTGACATTATCCACATGGTTAAAACAGACTTGATTAAGAAAATGCCAAACTTAAATTATAAGGCTCGATGTACATCACAGAGTAATTTGTGCATATAGACATCCTGCCCATGTTATATGTTATTCTGTTATGTTGATTTAAGGAACTTAAATAGTAATCATGGTGGTATGGTCAAGAGGAACTATGGTGTGCATGACCTAATATGGCTTAGCAAATAAGAACCTAATGTGTTTTACTTAAATACAGTCAAGTGATGTGGTTTGTTATTTATTGTAACTGGTAAAGTGCCTCAGATTAATTGAATATCAAATTTGTTGTGCAGGATGAAGTTGCCACTTTTTGGAATGATCTGATGTGGTAGTTGGTCAATCATGATAACAGTGAATGGCATCAAGATGTGTTGAATCTTATTCCACATCTAGAAAAGGAAAAATGACCCCAAAAAAAAGGAAAAAGTCTTTATAGAGAACAAAATAAAAAAATGGGAATACACTGTACATAATGTTACTGACTGGGCTCAATTATTACTTATTGATGACAATTATATGTTGGTTAAATGACATTTATATTCATATTATGAAAAGTTTACATTTCAATAGAGATTATTTCCAGATTTCTTTGGTGAATGACAAATTCAGTAAATCAAATGACAAGTTATGAAAAGCGATGTATATGAAGTATATTTTATGTTCAAATAGCATTATTTTCATATTTTTTTGGCAAATGACAAGTTCAGTAAACTAAATAACAAGTTATAAAAAGCGATTGATAAGAGTAGAAAGACAAATAACAACTATGATAAGTAAAAATTACACCTATGTTGGTCTATCATCAACTTCAGAATATTAAATGAATTTACACAATACTATTTACAACTATTAAATACTAAATATCAACATTGCTTTACCCGTAAACAAAATACCAACATTTGTAGATTGTTATGTCATGTTGCTATTATTAAACTACTCAATCTATAGTTACAACACTACCATGAGAAATTACAACAACACTAAGTCAAATAATAAAAAACCAAGGTGCTTTGATTAGCAACTAGATTTTTTAATATTCAGTGACAAGTGCACGTCAGCAAGATCTGTCTACTTAATGTTCCCTTATCACCACACATATTACTCTACCAACACCCTTTTTTCAAAAAAAAATTAAGAAGGGTAGAGCCTATTGATTGATAGCCGGAATGTCGCCTTCCGGATCGTTAAGAAAGAGAGTTGTACTAGATAAAATGCAATACAGGATGCAACCAGTCGTTCTTCTCGAGGAGCTTGTTATTGGAAACCTAGCCTAAATTGGGTTTCAAAAACATTGTAAAAAGGGTGTTGTAGTTGTTTTAAAAGTAGTGCAACAAATGTAAAATACAAAAAATTAACTATTTTTGGTATTTTGAATGAATAAAGAAATGTTTTGGATTAAAAGGGAATTATGGTTAAATAGTTTCTTGATGATAAATATTCAGTTATCACTGCTCTTTAGAATGATTGGGAGTTTTGAAAAACTTCTAAGTCTGAAGAAAACCCCAAGTAATCACTTGGGTCTAATGTCTTAATTAATGAAAACTCACTTTAATCAAAGTTAATTAACATCTCTTAAGACACTGTTGAAAACTACTTAGAGTGTAGATGAATGAATAATGCAAATGTCCTTTGAATGTCAATCGACAAAACACAGAATACCAAGCACTTAGATTAATCACAATAATCACTGAAAATCAAACTGAATACAAGGATTCAAACGAAATATTATATAGATTAATCAACATTAACATCATCCAATCCAAATACAATAGAATAATCTAAACACCAGATTTACAATCATAAACCAAGTTTAATACAAGTGCAGAAAGTTCCTAAATCTATAAATATTCAACACAGCATTAAACAAAGGTTTAGACTATAGAAAAAAAATTCCTCGATTAGATCATTGAACTCAAGCTTCATTCTCCATCACCAAGAGGCTAAGGGGTTTAGCCTCTCATGCCTTCCAACCAATCGCAATTGCTTCAGGAATGAACAGCCATGGTTGAAGCTAAAAATAAAGTTGAAAAAATGGATAAGAAGGGTGTTGGAATAGTTTGATCGGTCCAATAATGCAGAAAAATGGTGAAGAGATGAAAAAAAAATAAAAGTTTTGGGTATAAGGTAAATGGAGACTTAAGAGGAAATGATGGTGGCTCAACCTTGGGCAAATCTGCAGAATGGAAGAGTCCCTTTTCGTGGTGGCTACCCCTTTTAGGTATAGAAGCTCAGAAACCTATTTCAAAATGCACAGCTTCACTTAACATACTCAGGTCGCGACCTCAGGGGGTTTAGGTCGCGACTCAAGGGGTTCAAGTCGCGACACTAAAAGACAGAGAGCTCTAGTCTAAACTTGGCCCAAAACGCGTAATCTAACTAAGAGGCATCCAGGTCGCGACTTGAGGAGTCCATGTCGCGATCTGGGGAGGCATAACACTCCCAACTTTTATGTTTTGGTCCTTATAACATTTTGGCTCCATCCATGCTCTATCATGACTCTTGGCTCCTTCTCTAATTGCCTGAAAGTCACAACAAAGAGCTTTGTAAAGACCAAACAATTACAGATCAAGGAAATTAAAATTTAGAAGAAAAAATGACCTTTTTTTACCCCTTAAACAACAAAATGCAATGCATGACTCAATGTAATCAAATGGATATAAATGCATACATAATGAGGGTAAAATTGTTGCAAAACATTAGAAAACACTTGAGAAAACCATATAAGGATTGGGTTCTATCACCTATATACATGTTCAAATTAGTTGTCCCATAGGCCTCCTTGTGTGTCTAAAGTGGTGGCATCTAGTGCAATAGTAGACTTTTTCATTTTGGAATTGTGATTCCTGCCATCTAGTTCTTAGTCTTCTGGGAGGCTTGGTTGTGTTTAGTGATAAAAGCATTTATTGAGCAACATTCTCAAACTTATAATTATTTGGCTTAGGCATATCAATTGTCATAATTGGAACCACGCTCCTGGTATAAATTTTCTCCTATGTTGAAATTTTGTAGCACTCTTCAACATATTCATATACATTTTCCCATACAGTCTTGATAGCTGCACAAGCATGGTAGCACGGAATTCATGACATTTGCCAACCAAGACAACTATATTGGTGTAGACCAAGATCTACTTTTTAGTCTCCATGAGATATATGTACACACAGTCTTCCACCTCCATAATTGTCACAAGCCATATACTTACTGAAATACACATTCTCCAAAACCTTTGCCTTAATTTTTGGCCTAATACAATTTCTTCACTTAGTCATTGCCACATATGATACATGCATCTTCTTGCTACTTTCTCCCGATGCTCGTAGATCATTTGAGCTACATTATGTTTTCTCTCTTTCACCATCAAAGCATTGAAAGATTCAGCTAAATTGGTTGTTATGTTATCCCATCTTTTATATGAGAACTTGCTCATT